TCTTACTATAAAAGGGATTTTACATTTTATCTCAAATAATTACCTATTTCTGTGTTTATTTAAGAAACTAAAAGTTGTTACAGAAATTTAAAGATGGGTAAGGGCGGCAATTTTAAGTTTTTGCCCCGCCTAGGAAAAATGCTAAATCCGGCGCTGTGGTCAGGGAAAATTCCACTAATAAAATTGGGTAAAAATGCTGTTGAGTGCAACAGGGGCTAAAAGTGAATTTAGAAAAAGCAGCAGAGCAAGCATCTATGAGAGCAGAATGTAAGCAATATATAACTTTTGGTTATATACAAGATTAGCTATACATATATACAAGATATGCTAATCGAAGAGCTACATATAAAGAATTCAACCCGCAAGATCAAGTGTATATATACTTATTCCAGATTCTAGTAACAAAGTAATTGAGTAATTATATGCTAGATGGGCAGGACTCACAGAAATAGTAGCTCATTGAAATCCAGATTTTTATAGAGTAAAATTGACAGATTGTACAATAAGAAGGGTGCGTAGTGGAAATCATGGAGGTAGGAAGTAAGATGGAGTCGCCCTAAACAAGTTTCTCCGTACCCTGCTCTGAAGCACCGGCGATCCCTACGTGGTGACCAAACATTGGTCATTTACCATTGTTCTATGGGATTTGACGCGTTCGGGTGTAAATATTTTGTAATTAGTCGAAATGCATATAAATGTATATTTTTTTTCTACAACACTTCAGAGTCCTAAGTATGTGAAAACAACATTTTCATTTCTGAACGGAATTAAATGCTATACTTTTCACAGGACAGTTTTTCAGAATGGTTTAATGATGAAATTTTACAAGTTTCGTTAATTACATTAGAAAACAAAATTAGGTAATTCGATTTTATTCGGTTAAGGTACAAAATTAAGATCAAAGTTTTATTGTATTATTAATATTAAATTATGCATTATTTCTTTTCTATTATAGAGCTTCTTCTTCCTAAAATACTTTTTAATATGACATGATTTTTGGCTTCTGAGGCATTTTTAAATCGAAAAATGTAAGTCAATTATAATTAAGCTCTATTCGGTTCATTTTAAATTAGAGAATTATTAGGAATTAAAATAGTATTTCGCGAAAAAGTATTTTTTAAACGGTAACTGAGTTATTATAAAATGATGTAAGGGAATAATTGTTTTAATTATATTATCAGATTTTTTTTTTTTTTTTTTTTTTTACCCTTCATTTCAACAATAAATATTCCAAAAACTCTTTATTACGTTCTTAAGTGCGATCTCATAGCATTTGTTTACAATACCTTTAACAGATTGCTTTCCAATACGAACAATTCTTGCTTAAATAGTTTTATAACGTATTTGTCAACAGGATTTCAATTCATGTTACAATTCAATATTAAGGTTATTATATATTTAGATAACATTTATAATCATTATAAATTAGATACATTAATCATTAGATTTCTTCACAGTACTTCACAGTTGTTATAAGTGATAAATTCTTCATTTCAAAGCATTTATAAATAATTAATGAATATTAAGTATTTTGTCAAAGGCAGATACATGCTTTTTTGCAAGCACATGCAAAATACCGTACATATTTCCTATTTATCATTTCCGGCATGTGCAAATCTTTAATTTTCTGTGCATTCACTATATTTTTCGTGTAAAAGTAATTTACACAATTTAGCATACACCGAAAGTTTTACATAAAAAATATATATGAATATATTTGAATGAAATTATAAGTATTATTTTAATACCCACTCAAAGGTCAGTTTTCTTCAAAATTCCTCCACGATGGCATCTCTCTCTTTAGGCAGATAGCCTGATGCGTTACTCTATTTAATAAAACTTAATCTGACCCTATGTGCCTAATTACAAATATTTTAACATACATATTTATATTTACATTTAGCCATCAAGTTTCAAACTTTTCAAATCTTCTAGAAAATAAATTTGGCAGATCTCTTTTAGCAATTTTCTAAAATCTATTTTTTTGTGCAACAGCTTAGAATTTATAAAACAAATTCATAATCAAAATCGCTGTTGTTAGTATCGAAAATAACCAAGAGTGATTTTGCGTAATGTCAGTAAAATACAAATTGCTATATCCATCACACTATGAATGTTTCTTTCATGCGAGAGTGTCCCTTTTTCGATTTCTATGGAACTGTCGTGTGTCGAAATACTATCATATCTTGTCAGCGAGCGGTTGATCTTTACAATAGTAACTGTAGTGCGCATTTTGGAGGCGATAAAGGTACTTACCTTCACTTTGGCAAGATGTGAGCAGTACTAATTCCGATTACGCATTATTTTGTGGATGGAAGAGAGACATGGGATATGCAGTTATATGATGGACGAATTACTGTTCTGTGATCGAAAGGGGGAACGGGAAAAAAGCTGGAAATGTTGTAGTTGTCGTTATTCTGTTGTGTGAAACATGTTCGTGAATTTTTGGATCCCATGGCCGTTACTAAGTGAGTCGAAATGGGTATTTATGTATTATAATTTACTGTATGTGCCATTTATATTGAAGTAGTGTTTTTAAATTTACTTCTATTTAATTAATTAGTTATTTGTGAATTTTACGTTTGTGAATTTGAACGTTTTAGTGAGTAACGTGCTGGAATAATTTAAAGATCTGACAATATATTGTACTGGTGCAGTTACTTCGTTGGTGACGTGTATAATGTATAGATGATTTAGAGTAAAGTTTTTGGATATTTATTTATTTTATATGTGAAGTTCATTACTTTTTCGCGATCAGTTAATTTCATATATGTTCTTTTTACCGTTTTTAAAGATTGAGAAATGTCATGTATTTTCGTGAAATTTTTCTAATTGAGAAAAAAGCATGTACATGGATATAGTAAGGGTGCGCTGCGATTTTTGTGCACTTCTGGGTGTTTTTTTTAAGTAAAATATCGAGTGTACAGGTTTAGTGTATTTTTATTAAATGATATTATTTTGTGAATTTTATGTTTGTAGGAATTTGGTAGTATCGTTTTAAGTTGAAGTAAACGTGCATGGAAATAATTTAAATTTTGATACTAAGTATTTGTAATGCTTCGGTATGAATTCGTTGGTGACGTGTATAATGTAATAGATGATTTGAGGTAAAAGTTTTTGGATATTTATTTCTTTTATAGTGGAAATGTTCATATTTGGAAAGATAAATACTTTTTCGCGATCATAATTTCTTATAGTTTCTTTTTACCGGGTTTTAAAGATTGAGAAAATTTCATGTATTTCGTGAATTTTTTCTAATTTGAGAAAAAGCAATGTACATGGATAAGTGAGAGTGCCCAATGCCTTTTTGTGCAATTCTGGGATGTTTTTTAAGGTAAAAATAAGTCGGCGTGTACATGATTTATGTGTATGTGTTATTTTGAAAAACGCGTAGGAGTATGGTATTGTGCACTTTTTCCCAATTTTGCATGATATTTTTGTCATGATTAAGCGTTTTTGTTAGTAAAATTTCTAGCATAAGTTAATTCGGCTAGTAGATTGTTGGAAGAAGTGTTCAATAGATAAAAAAGAAAAGAAACATGTCTTACTTTGGAAGACAAAATGGCGGCGGAAAAAAAATAGAGGTTGCTGGAGGATTGTTGGTCGCCAATTTTCGCCAAAAAAACGCCAAGTGACCATAATGTAAAGATCAACCAAGCGAGCCTGAATGTAAACAAAGAACACCCCGTCTGGTGACCCAAGCTTCAAAGCAGTGCTTCACTTCTAGCGCGGAATGGCCCCTCCTCCCTTTCCTACCTCCATGGTGGAAATCAGGAAATTTAATCCAGCATTATAGGCAGTATGTGTAATATTTGAGAATGAAGAGGAAATAGGAGAAGTCCATCCCACATTCAGTTTGAATGACAAGTCAAATCATTTTTATCTTTGTGAGGTAGATTTAAAAAACCATTAAGCCATTTAGATGATGATACAAGGAATGACATCATGAACTTGTTGAGAAAATATGACAACTTATTTATAAATGAGGTACAAATTGCCAAAGTAGGAAAACATAAAATAAAATTAAATGACACTGAACAAAAGAAGCCAAACATTTATCGAATACTGGAAGCATTGAAGCCCCAAGTAGACAAAGAAATCAAAGGAGTATTAGCAGTGAAACTGATCAAAGAAACCAATGCAGAAATTTCTTACTGTGTTATGTAGAAAGGTGGTACTCTTTGCCTACGCATTGACTTTAGATCCCTTAATGCAGTGACGAAACCAGATGATTTTCGTTATGGAAAATCCCAAAGAACTCTTACTTCATATCAAGAAAGTCAATATGATATCAACCATTTATTTGCTCAAGGGATAATGATTCATGCCATTGGAAAGAGAAAGTCAAGAATTAGATGTTTCAAGGCATGTCGAGCTCAGTACTGATGTAGAGACATGCCTTTCGGGCCTAGCAATGCTGCTGCAACATTTCAGAGAGTAATAAACTAAGCACTTGCGGACTGCAAAGATTTCGCTCGAGCCTGTATCAATGACATAACAGTTTATTCAAAGAGCTGGAATGAACATTTAGTAAATCTCAATACCATTTTTTTTAATTGTTAGAACAAAAGTTTCCAGTAAATCTCAAGAAATGTTCCTCCTAAGACTTACTGATCACAGTTTGTTAATTTTCATTACAAAGAATGCAACACAGTCTTCTAGGCTACGGTTTCTAGCATTACAGAATGAAAGTATGATTTTGCATTGCCGAAGTGCTTTTGAACAGTGCCGATACGTTGTTCAGACTGGCACTAGCTCTCAGTCTGAAAGGCGCCGAAGTTTCTAGAGTTTTCAAGGAGGGAGTCCTAGAAAGGGGTCAGAAAAAAGGAAGGCTCATGAGAGCTGTTAATGAACATGAAATAAACCTTTATTAATTAATGTACCTATTTTAGTAGTGTAGTTTTAGTGATCTAGTGTGTAGTTTGGTGTGTGTAATAAACATTTAAAAATACGAACAAACGTGGATAATTTTTTGATGAGATGAGAAGACAAAGTGACATTTCAAATGCTAGCTAATGACATGTCGTGTAATTGCATATAACATTGTGATATATAATACTAATAATATTGTGTGTTTTCAGGAGTGGGATAAGAAAAAAGGACATTATAAGCCAGAAGATAAGGAGTATTACACAAAGAGCAAACAAAGATTTAGATCAGTGTTGTACAAGTTTATTCGGATGAAACATATTATAAAATTGAAATCTGATGATAAATGTACAAAAATCTTCCGATTAGGTAAATTATAATTATTTACAATTTTAGATAAAATTTAAAAAAATAAAAGAGGAACTACTCGGCTTTTTTTATTCATTAAATCAGATGACCATCTTTGTTTATTTTCAGATAATAATTTTATTTTATTTTTTACATTTCAGGTGAAAATGTAATTTATATGGAAGAGCTATTTTGTAATTTGTATGAAAAAAAGGGTAAGCAGAAATGTGAAACATTGTACTTAAAAAAAGTTTTGTTCTCTAACTTCAGAAACTTTATAGTATTCAAAGTGCTTATTAAGTTCATAATTCTCTAAGCAAAGAACTATTTTTAAAACATATTTTCATTTTTTAAATTTTCAGTTTTCATTTAAACATTTTTCATTTTCAAAAATTTAAATGATTTATAGAAATTGTTTACATAACTTTCATACATTATAGGTGCAGCAGAATGTGAAGATACTTCTAAGGATTCATTATTTTTAAATGACACTGATGCAGATCAAAGTGTAAGATAATGATTTTTAAACTAATATTCAGATATGATATTAATAATCAAACAAATATCTTATGAGCTTAAAGTTCTAATTCCCATAAATTTAATGCTATTACTTCCAACTCAGCAGCATTTTTGTGGGGTCCATAGTGCTAATAATTTTTAACTAAAATAAGAGTGTGATATTATTTGGCATCTGTAACAAAAATAAATAGTCGATGCATTCCATATAGCATAATCCATGCATAAGGTTTGAAGAAATTCTCATAGTTGTTATCTAAAATGTAAATTTTTTTTTTGTTAATTTGTTTATAAACAAGCAATTAATCTATTATTGGAAAACAGTTTTTTTCACATGACAATTTACTGCAATGAAAGTAATTTTCCATGGGACTTACAAGATCCAGTTAGGATGTGTTATATTTAGCATACTCAAGAAGTTTTGAATAAACTCATTCCTAAAAAAAGTGAAAGATCCTTTTTGTGAAGTTTTCGGATAATTTCTTATTTTAAAACACAATAATTGTATAACTTTAGTTTTAAGATATTTTTGAGTTAAAACAGTCTTCCAATATAATATAGGGCGAGAGTCATCAACTTTTTTTACTAGAGGACATGTTTCAGAAATGCAAGAGTTCAGAAGACACCATTAGTGGTTCAAGGGGTACCGTAGTAGCGATGAAATGTCTCTCTACATTACATTTTTTAGCCATCCTTATAGTTGAATAGCATAAGCATATTCTCTAAAAATTGTAGTTGAATAGCATAAGCATATTTTCTAAAAATTGTAGTTGAATAGCATAAGCATATTCTCTAAAAATGGTTTTCTTCCACTGTAGCTTAGAGTATAGAAATATTATGGGGACAAAAAAGAGTGTATTGCAGGGGTGGCCAAAGTGACATGAAGCTCTTACTGACATGAAAGCTCGTGAGCCTGATATGGCTCTCGCAGGCAATTTATGCGGCTCGTGCATATAAAATATATGTTTGAAATATGGTAAACTAAAACTATTCTGTGTTCAAAAAGAAGTAATTAATTAGTTTAGACTCTTCTTACAAAGTTATCAGGGATTTCTTTCTATTTAAAACCTCCTACACTACTTCTATAATGATGTAAATATGAACTTGTGGCGGCTTTTAGAAAATCTAGATGCAGCTCTCGAACATTCCTGAATTCAAACGTACGGCTCTTACTGATATGAAGTTTGGCCAACTCTGGTGTATTGTATGCAGAATCAGATGTTTTAAGCAGTTGAGAGTTAATTCATCTACTCATGTAGTGTTATCTAGATGTCAGCAAAATTTATTTATTTATTTATTTTTGTCAAAAGTTTTAATCACCCATTTAGTACATTTTCTAAAATGTTGAAGATAAAATAAGAATTTTTACTAAAATTATTCATTTTCAATTAAGATATCCGAACTCATGCTAAAGATGATTTTGTGTTTATTGTCCAAATATCTAAAATTTATAATTTAGATAGCTGAATGATGGGCACTTTAAAATTGCATCATGGGCACCACAATGTGGTCTCCTGGCGTAAAGTAGCCACCTAAATTCTTAAACATACTTTTAAATTTGTATTTGAAAATTCTATGTTTATATATATATATATAGTCAGTACTGAACATGAACATTTATAGGATCCTAAGTTCTTTATCAGTCACTAGAGGCACTGCAGACATTTCTCAGTTGATGGTGCACTCTCCTGTTATCAAACCCTGCTCCTGCAATATTACCATCATGAAAAGACAAAAAAATTTTCATTTAAAATTTTTTAGAAAATTAATAAATTTTCATGGAAAAAATTTCCATATAAAACATCCATATGCATTAGATATTAAAAAAAATGAGGTAAGCAAAACACTGTAGTTATGCAAATACCCTATTTTAACACTGAAATATTAGGAGAAACTATCAAGAAATATACATGGAAAATGTCAGAAAATGCACTTCTAGTTTCATTTTTTATTTTTGTTGCTAATAGAGGGATAGGAATTAAGCAGTGTGAAATGATTCTATCCCTGTGATTTTTAGCCTTTTCTGTCCCATATACCCCTTTTCACTACTGCTGGAAAATCATTCCTCCCTTCTTTTCGAAAATTTGAGAAATGCATATATAAATTCATTTAGATTTAGACTGTTTTCTACATTTTAGACTGTTTTGTTTTCTAACATGTTTTATAAATCAAGCAGGAAAAAGTATAGAAAATGTTGTTAAATACCAAACATTGAATAAGAATAGTTTTTTATATTCATAAACTAAAATTAAGTACCGTAATTTTCGGAAGAAAGGCCGCATCAGCGTAAACGGCGCACTCGAGAAAATTTTTGGGAAAAAAAAAATTAAAATTACACAGAAACGATGCATCGGCATAAATGCCGCAATAGACTAGATTGCGCGTAACATCGTCGTGGGCTGTATAGATGCAAAATCTCAACCTAAGTCCCGATATATGGCATATCAGTTAAGAAAAATGCGTGAAATGAAACCATAACTCAAAAATAAATTAAAGGTAAGAAATGTTGAAAATATATTTATGTTCACATATATATTTATGTTTAGCCACTAAAGAAGTCCATATTTGTAATACTCAGAGTATATTATAAAAAATGTTGCAATAACGAAATATTAAATTTGGATTACAAAAGGAAATTTTAAATTTTACTTACAAAAGGAATTACAGCAAACTATACATCGTATGAAACCGTCAAAATCTGATTCTTCACTATCTGAAATAAAAGATTTAGTAAATCCTGATCTAAGTCTTCCAGATCGTCACATTCATCCTCTTGGTTTACAGTGTCTTTATCTAAGGATATAATTTCAGCTTCTTTAAACCCTGCTATTATTGACGATGCGATTTCCACGCACTTCCTACCCACTTTGCAACTTCTTCATAAGCTCCACGCATTTAACCACTTTTGATATACGTATGCAATCCTTCACTCATCCAACACTCCCACCGCTTTCAGACTTCAGCATTGAGGGAATTATTACCTGACAAATCTAATTGTTGTAAGATTTTTGTCAAACCACCAGGAATTATTGCTACGGTCGTAGACAATTTTTGACAATCTGGTAGACAATCTGGTTTTTGACGTAGACAATCTGGTTCTCCACTGATTCAAGTAAATAAGCACGCATGGAATCCATTCTCAATAACCCTTTTGGTTGGAAAAAAGATCGCTTACGACACTGCCAAACTTTTTGTAGCCACTAATGCATGATTGTTTCGCACATCCAGCCATTCTCGTTTGCACAAATAATTACGTCATTAGGAAAATCTCCCTTCGGAATACTTTTTCGTTTAAAAATGATCATCGGCTTTAGCTTTTCACCGTTTGCGGCACAAGCTAACACACATGCATAATTACGTTCTTTCATGCTCCGTCGAAAGCACAGATACAGTTTTTGCACCAGTTTCGTCAACAGTTCTATTTGCAGGAGAGTCGAAAGCTAACGGCGTTTCCTCCATATTTATTATCTGTGACCGAAGAAGTTTTTTTTTGTCAATAATATCTGTCACATATTTTAGAAAAGGTGCCTTTTTATCTTGCCAGTCCATTGGTAATTGTTGCCGAACTGTTGTTCTATTATGCACAGAAATATTTTTTCTTTCATAAATCTGCTGCACCAGCAAGGCCCTTCTTTGAAACCATTTATGTTCATTTGTTTTGCTATAAATTTTGCTTGTAAGCAAATTTTTGCAGTCGAAATTGCCATTGTCTTTCCTCACTGCTCCTTTATCCAGTTTGCAAGGTCATCCTCTAGATTCGGCCACCTTACAGTACCACTTCTTTTGGCTCGTTTCTGTTGTAGCATGTTTTTAAGAAGTTCTTTTTAAGTTCTCCAATGTCGAATACATCTCTCGTCCACTTCAAACTCTTGAGCTGCTGCTCTATTTCCAATTTGTTCAGCACGTGAAATTACATTAAGCTTAAAACCAGCAGTATAGCTTCTGTGCCGTTTAGGTGCCATTTTAAAAAAATTTCCGCTCCCTTGTTACTTAAAAACTATCCAACAAGTACTTGTACCCAAACTGATGGGATCTGTATCTGACAGAATGCCAAGAAAAATCGATTCATGCTGAAGGGGAAATACGTCAGAGTTCGTTATTGTGAGGCAGGTGGAGTCGTGTCTGCCTTTGAAAAAAAATCGCAGAAAATGCAGGGGGGGAGAGAGGATGGGTTCTGGAGGATTCATCAAATGGCAGAGGAGGGAGATTATTTAAACTGATGAGAATGTTTATTTGAAAGGGGGAAGGATGTTATTGTTCTGAGATCCCGTATAGGGTGAATAAGGCATGTAGGTCCGTTCAGGGGAAGAATGTAAACAAAATAACGTTAGCAAAAAGCAATTGAGTGGTCTTTTGTGTGGGAACAGCACCAGTCTATGTACAATGACAAGGCCATCCAAACTATGTAAAATGACAAGGCCATCCAAACTATGTACAATGACCATCATAGGAAATATTTTATTTTTAGTGCACCTAAACGCAGCATGGGTAGAAACGCCGCACCCGCTGAAAATTTAAGTTTTAAACAGGTAAACGCAGCAGCGTTTCTTCCGGAAATAACGGTACGTAACAGGTAAATAAAAGCCTGACTGCGTTCGTCTCTGAACATATGAAGGGAGGAATTTCCATTTGGTTGAGAAACCCTGTTCTGTATAGTGAGGATATTATAAGAAATGCACACCTGCAAACCAGCAGTATGAAAATATGAGCAAAAGCATATATTTTGTCAATTTTTTTTTGTATCGATTTAAAATGCATCAGGATTTAACCCCCTGAATGGCATAACCATTTTTATCTGGTTCTTGCTTTCTGTAGTGTAATAATGTAAATATCCTGATGATACTTTATAAGAAGAAAGACCAAAATAACAAATAAGAATTGAGCTAAATGCTTTTAATAAAAGCTTTTCAAGTATAGTACAGTACCTCATGAGCAGATTCAAAACGATATGCCACACAGTATTAAACAAAATAATTATATAATCTTTGCTTT